TTCAATTTACAACAGTTTTAGATTTGTGAATTTTGAATCATTTGCTTTCTGCCATAGTACCTAAGCATTTCTTTTTCTCCTCTTCTCTCTCCTTTTCTTCCCTCCACCTTCCCATGTTTGAGTAAGCCCTTAGTTTTTCAGCATCTCAGCGTGCTGGCACATTGCTACCCTTCCTTTAGGCAAGAAGCAGTCCCCCAGCTCCTTGAGAATCCCTCACAAGGGACCATACCTTCCTATCTCCTCTTGTCTCCTTTGCTCTTCCTCCCTGTTGGGCAACCCATAGCCTGACTACCTAAGAGAATAGGAGGAAGTCAGCATAGTGGAGGAAGTAAAGAAAACTCATCTCTAGAAGACTGGATGGGAAGAGAAAGTAGAGATCCAGGAATTACAGCTATGAGGAATCTGCTTGCATCACATGATTCATCATTTGGCCCTTGGTGCTTCAGTAATCTCTGAAATGTAGGCATAATAGCAATAACTTTTAGTCTATGTGGTAAAAATAATTCTTTCCATTCAGGACTTGTGAAACGTTGGAGGATGAATGATGTTTGTATTTCAGTCGTGATAGGGCCTTTGAGTGAGGAACCCAGCCTAGGTAAGGTCTGTGGCCAAGACAGCTCACTTTGGAACGAGGCATCTCATTTCAGATAATTTTTAAAGAAGCTTTTATTATAAGCAAATCTGTGTCATCTAGAGACTTGGAATTCCAGTCTGTGAAGAATTTTGCCTTCTTTGTAGAAAAGGTTTCTGATGAGAAATCTAGAAGATCACCCCAAATGTGGCTTTTTCAGTTTAAAAGACCTGGCAATCTTTGGTTCTACAGAAGAACTCTTCTCAGGAAGACTGGTCTCTTTCTTACCTTAACTCCAGTTTCACATACCTACATTTAATGAACAACCAGATAATTTGGTCTTCAGGAGTCCCTTTTAGCCATTCACCTGGAAAAAGTGATTGTTTAGTGCAAGATTAAACAGTCTTATCTATCTGAAACATTAATAGACAATCATTGAACAGTATTTAGAAAATTTTAAAGGAAAAAAATGAAACCAAAGAATTTTATATTTTGCTGGAATTATTATTACTATAAAGTAGGGTGGCTAAGCTGTATGAAAGGAAGCCTGTGGTTCATATTTATTGCAGTGCTATTCTCAACAGTTTAATAAAACAAAGTCCCAGACTCTTAGATTTCCTCTGGGGTTAATAGTAACAGCCAGGGCAGCTCCTGTCTGTGGGTCATACTCTGATTCAGAGACTGGGGTTGGTAATAAGATTATAAAACATGCCTCTTACTTGCCAGCTACCATACACTAATAATGATACACATCATAATTCACTGGAATCTTTGGCTTTTAGGTTTTACATAGTATTCATTGTGCTGGGCACTGTCCTCTGCATAGCACCCACCTTGCCTTTACCAGGTGCCAAGCCATGCCAGTAGCATGCCCCTCTCCCCTGAGTTGTGACAATTCACAATCTCTTCAGACGCTCAAAGTGTTGGGTCCCCACACACATTCTGAACTACTAGTTTAAGGTAAAACAACCAACTTCAAAGATTTCATTACATAGTCATTTTGTCTGGGCCAAATGTAGAAGGATTGTGTGTTTTTGTTTGTTTGTTTGTTTAAGTTAGAAGGGAACAGGCAGTGATTTGGAGTTTAAAGTCACATTTTACCAACCTTTTCTTGCTGTCTGAGTGAGTTGTTCTTCTTCCTTACCCTGTAGGCTGTCATGGGAATCCTTTTTTGTGGATTACTTTTGGAGTGGGATGTAGCTAAAATGATTGGTGACCTCAAAGTTCACATTTTAATAACGTCAAATGGAGTCTGATCTGTGGTTTTTTTTTTTTTTTTTTTTGTCTTTTGCTGGAAGTCTTTAGTTGCTCAATGTTCCTTGGGGTTCATTGAAGAAAACTGAATATGAGTACAGGTAACTTAATTCCTAGTTCCAAATAAATCTTGTTATTTGATGCTTTCTAAAAACATAGAAAAAGAATTAAGGGGGACATAAGCATATGCATGCATTTGAAATCGTGTTTATTTTCTAATAAGCTTTTGTTAAAAAGAGAATTGTACCATTTGCCTGAATAATTTTGGAATTGGCAGCAGCATTCGACCAGTCTGTCACACTTGACCATTTGTGTCTTTTAGTTAATATGGGAGATGCTGGGATCTCATACTTGTGAAGTGTATGGAGAAATGCCACTGATTTTAGGGTACTAGTTCTCGTTCGTGATGATGTGTTTGAATGACTCTGAGGTGCTCCGGAAAGGCCCACAACGTTGTACGGGACACATCTCAGACTGGTTGTACTTGATTTTCTGGAGGTAGAGCTCAAGCCTGAGTGCTGGATCTCCTTTTCTTCTTTTCCAGTAGGAGTCAGAAGTCAAGAACCAGTGTACATTTGCATAACGTTTTAATGGAACATAGCCATGACCATTTATTTGCCAATTGCCAAGAGATGTATGGCTTGGCAAAGCCTGAAATACTTATTTTTTGACCATTTGTAGAGAGAAGCCTGCTGACTTTGCTATGGAGTCACAGTAAACATTTGTCAAACATTCCGAAAAGAAAATTTGTATAAACTTTCATAGTAAAAGAAAAAAAGTCAGCATTTTGCAGAGCCTGCAGGCTTAAGTCTTGTTCATTTTCTTGTACACTGAGAGAATTGGAAAGCATTTGCCTTGAACAACTGACTTGCAGATATTGCCAAACCTAAGGGAGAATAATAGCTTAGCACCCAGAGTAGGGAGGCGCCCTATTGTTTGTTTTAGGGCCCTTTGTGCTTACCAGCCTGCTTTTGGCTACTAATCCAGGGCTCATTCCTCAGACTTACCACTGCTTTGAGGACAGTCTCTAGAGATAGAACTAATTCTTCCATTCAAAGTATGCTTGAGTTTGTCATGAACACGTGGCAGGAGAGTCACCCCCCCTCCAAATTTTTGAGCTCTGCTGAATTGTACAGATTAAAAATAATAATAATAATAACGAAAGGGAACTTTTCTATTTACATAGCTTCCACGCTTGCCCGTTTCCATTAGAAACTGATGATAGTAATACTAAAAAGTTTTTTTTTAACTTATCCTCCTTTGGTCACCGACTCTTACGTGTGAGAGAAAAGATAAATTATTTTCAGCTCTTTGTCACCAAAACAAGGTCTGAGGACCAACAGAACCATCCTCTCTGGGGAGCTTGTCAGATTCTCAGGCTTCTCCCCAGCTTACTGCATCAGAATCTGCATTTAGCAGATCCCCAGGCCATTTGTGTGCCCATTAAAGGACACTGAGAAGTGCTAGTTTAATTGATAACTGGGTGCTGCTCTGCGTGGTAAACTGCTGCTATTGATTACACCCCTGTTAGTGATTTCATGGCTCTCTAATGGGCTTCCAGACCTGAGCTCTCTTGAGAGGGTGGATGCCAGTTCTTTCCCTGTGGCTATTTTCCAAGTACAGCTTGCTTGACCTCTTGTTTAGTAAAGATTTATATGATGGTAGAAAATGAGAACAAAATGGTTCACCAGGAAGAGATGTCATTGTATATATTTTGAAAAAAAAGTAGAAAGGATAAAGGGAACTTGCTCAGGAAAACCTCATTTGAAAGGAAATTATCACCCATAATGGAGTTGTCTTTGTTTCCCCATGGGGCAGGAGTGCACCCTTGAGAGCACACATTTGAGCTGCAAGGACCAAAAACAAACTGTCTAAAGCATTTCAAAGTGTCATGGAAATCAGGGATTTCCTTTCCTCCAAGCCATGCTAGCATAGTGCATGTGGGTTAGGGTCGCTTGGAAAATTGTCCCCTCATAAAACATACTGAGAAAGCCTGGTATCTAATTTTACCTGTCAGGTTCTGTCAGTTTAGTTCAATTGTCTTTATCAGATGGTTTTGTCAAACTCCTACTATTTTCTTTATTAACTAGCAATTTTAAACATTTGATTGAAAAACATGATTTTGAAATTATTTCTTAATTCTGATCATAATTGGTTTGTCTTGAACATTCTCTTTGAAGGGCTTTTCTTTAAAAGGTCAATACCATTGACAGGGTTACGGGTAGATGTGGCAGAGTGCTGTTGTAGCATGCACTAGGCTCAGGTCTATGCCTAGTACTGTGAAGAACCAGGTGAAAATCATCCAAATTTAATTGTTAAAAGGCAGTATAAATAATTGAAGTCCAGCTCTGTCCTTGCCACAAGGATATAATCATAAGTTGAATGCTTAATATCTTTACCAGCAAAGTGTATGCAGGAAACGATTTTCAGCGATCGTGGAAGTAGCCCTCCCAGACTCATGAAGATCTAGGAAATCCAAAGTAGGCAGCACCTTCTGAGCCACCGGGTCACATCTCCTGAGCTTTGAATGATAGGTCAGGAAGCTGCGCAGAACTGCTTCACGTAAAAGCCGGCTCTGGTCCCAAGCGAGGTCTGGTTTCCAGAGACTTCCAGGCCCGCCTGTCACCTGCTGCTGCTGCTGCTGCTGGAGGAATGGCGTGTGCTCCCTGCACCCTTCTCATCCCCACCCCATGTGCCCTCTTGCTGAATCCACATCATCTCTAGAGTCGAGATCCCGGACCTCAGTCCCCTGCTATAGGGAAAAGCAGGGGAGAAGGTGGGAATAGATGAGCGATGGGAGCCCGCACACCATCACACTAATGCCTTTTGCAGGCTTTGCATGTTGTTTATAGTGTTTTGTTTGATATTTGATATTCTTCTTATACGAACAGTATAAGGTAACAAAGGTCAGATGCCAGCTTTAAACCAAGAAAACACATGAAGAGGTTCAATAACAATCCCAGTCAACAAACTTGGCAGTGCTACAGTGGACAAGCACCACTCTTCCCTCTCCACTACCCTACTCGTTATTTGAGCACCATATAGCAGGAGGGAATTTAGGAATGCTTTCAAGGATATTCCAAAATAGAAATGGCATTGTCCTGTGTTGTTGTTGTTGTTGTAATAATTGTAAAATGCAATTTTGGTCTTAATGTGTTTCTTATTTTTTCTTCAGCAGATGAAAACCTCGGAGAGCCGCCATACAGTGAGTTCCCAGTACAGGATGCATTCTTACTATGGGCCTCCCTCCTACCTGGGTCAGAGCATGTCCCAGATCTTCACTTTTGAGGACATCCCATCTTACTCGGAGCACAAAACTCCTGGTAGGTGTCAGCTTACAGACTGCTTAGGGGTGGGGAAGGGGTGCCTGTCCAGCAGTGGTTCACCAGCCCCATTGGACTGCTTCTCTGTTAGGAGCTGTTGGAAAGTCTGTTGTATGCGAAACTTAGATAAGTGAGCTTTAATGTATTTATCGGTAGAAGATTCTGTTTTTGTTGTGTGTGTGTGTGTGTGTGTGTGTGTGTTAATGAGGACTGAACACGGCTTTACACGTGCTGTGCAAGTGCTCTACCACCAAGGTGCACCTCCAAACCTTTTGTTTTGTTTTGTTTTAAGACAAGGCTAAATTGCCTAGGTTGGCCTCAAACTTGGGGTCCTCCTGCCTCAACTTTGTGAGCAGATGGGATTATAGACGTGTACTACCACCCCTGGCTTGCTTAATTCTTAAAATGATGTTATCCCTTTATGAATAACTGCTGTGATAAACAGAAAGACTCATACCAAAGCTGAAAATGTATTTTCTGTGGAATCAGCATGAAATACAGGATTATCTTTTCTTCCATGCCGGAGGTCAAATCCAGGTCATACACATAGCTAAGCCAGCACTCTACCACTGTTGCATCCTCAGCTCCCAGAGTTTTTTTTATTTTATTTTTTTGAGACAGTCTCTCTGTGTAGTTCAGGGACTGGTCTCAAACTTGAAGCAATTCTGCCTCGCTTCCCAAGAGTTGGAATTACATGTGTGCCACCACCACGCTTAGCTCACAATATGGTTTAAATCTAGATTTTGCATGCACACACAAAGGTGGTGAATTTGTGTATTAAATACTTGTTTCCCAAAGATTTTAATTTAAAAACTGAAGGTATATTCATCTTTTGGGGAAAAATAAAATAACATAATAAAACACTTTTTAATACAGTACATCTTGGCGTTTATGCAGTAGCAATGCAAATAACTCTGATATAAAGGCTTTAAAATAAAAAAATAAATGTTTAATGAACCAGAGCACTTTGAAATACACAATTTTTCAACTTCAGTTTTAACCTTCTCCCCAACATTTATGCTGTGATGATAGGCAGATCATTTATGGGTCTGTGCTTTCAGATGCCGTTTTTAAGTTCTTCATATTTATGCATCATCTTTTTGTTTAGAAAAGTGAGATGCAAACACAGTCGAGGCCATAGGTGGAAATCAAGGTGGTGAAGTGAGTGACTTGGAAGAGACAATGATCCACCAGAACTCACCATGTACTGAATAACTTTATTTCTAAATAATTTGACTCTGTAGAGAACTGATTACAGTTTCCATGACCTATATATTCTGTATTAATGGAACTCATTATGTTAGTGTACTGGATAAAGCATAACTTGCCCAATGTTTTGAGATTTTTATTGTTCTGAATGAATTTGGAAATCAAAGCATTGTTGTGAACTCATTCTCTAAGGAGTTTGAGCTGTAGAAACTGAAGTATACATTGCTGATTGCACTTTTCCGTTTATTAATCACTTGTTAAGAGTAAACAGGCATGTGCTATATACCTACATGGTACTTCTTTCATACTACCTTTCATTATATATATAAGTATTATAAAACCCTTAAGGACAGAGGGCGCGTATCATACTTTTGTATCTGCTGTGATGACTTCTACTAGCTATTTGTTGGTTGAGTGAATGAATAAATAGATTTGCTACATTTTCTAAGTGAGCTGACCCTGCAAGGAAAGACAAGCACAAAAGTTCAGAAGCCTAACTCATTGTTGTCTGATGTGACAATTTGCAGATAAAACAGTTAAATGTTTGTTCATACAGGAAATCAGGAATTAAACCCACTTGCAGGAAGAAATTACTAAAGCTGGGGCCGCGGATTTAGCTCAGTGGTTCTGCTGCCTGCCTTGCAAGCCCAAGGTCCCTAGTTCAATCCCCAATACCAAAAAAAGAAAAAAAGAAAAGAAATTACTGAAGCTTCTTACTTCGGGAATAATGGAATGTTTTTAGAAGTACTGCTGTGTTTGAGACAAAGGTATAAATTTAGAGCATGATAGTAAGCAAAACTTAAGAGGCAGTCTATTAGAGCAAAGAGAAACAAATCTGGAGAAGAGCAGTAGGCATCTGAATCTGTGGCAGTAAGGAAGTGACTCCGGAGAAGGGATTACAGTCTAGGAGAGAGGCAGGTGGGTGGTACCAGTGCTCCTAGGGAACGATGACTAGGATTTCTTACTTTTCTAGAGATGTGTATGATTGAAAGTGTGGGTGGGAGGAGGCTGCAAGTTTAAATCCTGGCACTTTCTAACTCATTAACAATTAATCAGGAGCCCAAGCTGTGAAGGCTCTAGCCAGGACAAACTACAGTGAAATCTCAGTAATACGGTATTTATTTTGGAAATATTGTGGAGAAATAAGTTAATAATATCTTTAAATGGTAGCTTTATGGCTTGTAAATGTGTTCTCTGGGCATTTTTACGAAGCAAAGGGATGAAAGAGGAGGGGAAATGGTGGTTGGAACAAGAAGACCCACAGATCTTCTTTGGGGACGTACAGTCTTTAGTCTCATCAGCATTTGACAAAATGGAAAGCTTTTTGGGCAAGTTAAAGCCATTTTAGTAAGCAGGACAGCAGGAGGCAGCATGTGGCATATGAGAAGAGGGACAGTGGTTTATCTAATGTGAGAAATTGGCAAAGGCTGGCTGATAATTCCAGTTCACAGTACTGTCAGTTGAGTTCCTTTGGTTGTTTGCTTTAATAAATAAGTTGTGATTTCTAAGGAACCCATCAGTTATTATAAATGGGAACTTCTAAATGATTTGAAGAGCAATGTTTTAAATAGGCTAAATGTTTTCTTTAAAGTGTTATTTTAGTAAATTTATGTTTCTTCAGTTTCTTTAAAGGCAAGTTTAGCATCCAAAGAAATAATCACAAGTTTAATGTTTTCTTCTGATCTTGCTGAAGACAGTAAAATGAAAATACGATGCTGAGGAGTAAAGAGTCTCAAAAGAAGTTTTCATTTTGCCATGCAGCTTCTATTTGATATTTTTCTTTGTTAAAAAAAAATCAGAGTCATTCGTTCTCTTTTTCATATCCTGAAAAGTGTCATAGATGAGAGAGATGATGAGCTGGGTCATGTAGGATGTTTGTCATGGTTTGTGTCTAGACACCCCCAAGCCTCATGCAGTCATAGGGTTTTTTCAGAGGTGGCTGCATCTAGATTGTGACACTCGGATCAGGGGTGTGTGACTACTAAATCAGTCCCCTGATTGGTTTGGCACCACCCTAATCCAGGTAGTCTGGATAAGATAAAAGGGGCAGAAAGACACTGTTGAGGTCCTTTGTTGCTTTTGATACCTTCGGCCTTCCATGAACTAATGCCCCTCTTCCATATGCCCCTCTGATTGGAGCCAGCCAATTACGGACTGAAACCTCTACACACAGTGACTTAATAAACCTGGGAAGGTTTTAAACTTTAAACTTTGGTTGTCAGATGTAGTGTCTCAGCGATGAGAGAAAAGTAACTTAGACAACATTGTAAGCCATTGTAAGGACTGTGGCTTTCATTTCAGGTAAGAGGAAAAGCCATTTGAGGGTTTTGAATAAAGGATGACACGTCTGCCTTAACAACTTTTAAAGATCATCTGATTGCTGTTTAAGGGTGGGCTGTATAGGTATGCAGAGGAGGAAAGCCAGTGGGAAGGCTCTTGCAGAAATTTCAGCAAAAGATGATAGTGACTTAGCATGGGAGCATAGTGATAATGACAGATGGTTGAATTCTGATATACTTCAAAGATAGAACCAAGAAGATGGCTGATGGGTTTGGGAACAACAGAAAGAAATGATTGAGAATTGTGATACAATTTTTGACCTGACCATTTAGAAGACTGGAGTTTCCACTTTCTGAGGTAAAGATGACCATGAGAAAAATAGGTGGTGGCAATTAGAAGATTAATTTTGCACTTACTAGATTTGAGATGTTTATGAGTCATTCATGTTGGTTTTCAAGTAGGAGTTTAATGTATGAAGTCTGAAATCAAGGGGAAATATCTTTGCTAGAAATGAAAATTTGAGAGTTCAGAGCACAGGTGTTATTTGAAGTAAATATGGTAAAATCATCTAAAGTAATGAATGTATATGGTTTGAAATCCAAGTAAAGAAAACACTTAAATGAACAGAGCAAAACAATGTGGACAGGCTAAATGAGCTGAGCCCTTGAATTGACTATCAGCTGACAGAATGTAAAAATGACAAAGAAGGTTTTAAAAAAAGAATGTAGCAATGACAGAAGGCCTTGCTTGAGGGGCTGCTTGGTGGGGAGGTGGGATTCCAAGCCTGACTGACTATATTCAGGAGAAGAAAGTGCAGGAGAGACTTGGGGCAGTGAATACAGACAGCTGTTCTGAGTCTTGGCGTACGGAGAGGAGTGAGATGGGGCAGTAACTAGAAGGGAGGGCAGTTAAAGAAGGGGTTGTTCCTCTTTTGCTAAATAAGAGGGGTACTGTTGTAGGTCTGAATGCTGGTGGTAGTGATCCAGTAGAGGGAGAGGTTGATGGCACAGGGTATGTTGTGAGTACGTATTTGGGACAGTACGTATTTGTCCGAGTGAGCAGGACGGATGGAACCTAGAATACTGATCTTCCGCTGCAGGCTGGTGCGGGTCCGTGGATGTTTTGTTACCAGTATAAGAGCAGGGGTAAGAAATAGAAGATAAATGGAAGCTTGAAACTGTTTGACAGAGTAATTTTATGTCCATTGAGCCTAATAAAATTGTCTTTCACTTCTGTGGTTATATATTTTTTTTATTGAGGTAAGATTCTCCTAACATAAAATAGTCATTAACCGTTTGAAAGTGTTCAGTTCAGTGGCATGTGGTACAAGATGTGCAGCTATCAGCTTTATCAAGTTTTAAGAGGAAACCCCATACCCATTAAACAGTCAGGCCCTATTCTCTTTTCCCTAAGTCTTTGGTAACCACCAGTCTCCTTTCTGGATTTGGTTTGCCTATTCTATTATTTCTGTAAATGGAATTGTCTAATATGTAGTCTTTTGTGTCTGGCTT